AGTATGTATCGTGCAGTCTTCCTGGCATCGTGGAGCTATTACCTATGATCCCTCTGGTCCTGGTCGTGTTTGGATTCAGTTTGAGGACGATGATTCCCCGGAGTCTGTATGTATCCCCGGTATCAGACGTTACGTGGCGCCGGCCTGATATCTCTGGTTCTCCCTCTCCATCGTTATCCCCCGGGCGCTAAGGAGAGCCTGATGGGACTGACTTATCATCGTCTGATCCGATTATCTATGATAAGTCTGAACCCTAGTCAAACTCTATGATGAGTTTGATTGAAATGAGATTTAGAGTCCTGTATGATATAGTTCCTCCTCAAACGGCGACGACCTGTGCGGCGATGGTTCAAGGGTACAGTGCGTGATATGCGTGCCTCGGGTCCGGTTGACGTTGAATGGGATGATGAGTTCGGTAAGATCGAGACTCTTGATTTATGGGCCTGTCAACATAGATCGGTGTTATGAGATTTGCTCTTTTTCACCGAGTATTATCGTTTCAAGCTTATAACCTTCAAACTTATAGTATGGTAGATTTTGCACAGCCTGTGCGAAACAGGTATCACCACTGGCTTGTGCATGCGTACGGATGCTCTAGTTAGAACCGAAGTTCGGTTCAACCGAACATGCGGGTTCGGCGCAATCTATTCTTGCTAAGTGTCGAGAATTCCGTAGCCATCTTGGCTCAAGTTCGAGTCGTGTGTTAAACCCTCGTTAATCCTATCAAAGTGGAATGACGGATGATGGAATGAGCAGAAAAAGTTCCTGTGTTTCTTCAAGCATTTGCGCACAAAACTTGTGCGAAGCGCTCTGCCTGGAGCACGCATCAATAGGAGTAACAATGAATTTGTGACGTCTTGTATGATAAGAAAAAAGCTTTGCGGAGTGGTGTAATTTTTTCCTTACAGTTCTGTCATAAACTTCGCTCGAGTTCAACCATTCCCATATCTCCGGGAGTTGTCCACCCCAAGTCTACCAACTTAGTCATATGAGAATGATACCCTGCAATTTATTTCACGTGGTGCTGATTATTGGCCTCCTTATTAAGCCGCAACTAGCGGAGGTGGCTGCCCTTGGCAAGTACGCTGGATGGGATAGTGACTATCGCTTCTTTTGCATTATAACTGTGAAGAGCTCGTCTGAAATGCAAACTACGGCCGACGTTGAGCTGGACAGGGGGAGTAATCGGGCCGAGTGCGTCAACTGCCACTTCACCTACGGCTTATCGAAAGTGTTCGGCAAGACTAATGGAAGTGAGAACAATGTCGATCTACTCAGCCAAGTTGATCTTATTGCTCCGACGGGAGATCCCACCACAGACTGTTTGAATAAACTAGCGGAAACTATCGGTGTGGGTGATCATTGTCGCTGGAATGCATACCCGCATAATGGTAGAATGATTCTTGACGGTTGCGGTTCACACTGGAGCATAGCTCATGTCAACTAAGATATCTTGAGTCCGTAGGCGCTGCTTCAGTTGTCGCTTATTCAGACGAGGGTTCATGATTGATCCTGTCTACTTTTCTCTTTTGTTTAGTCATAAGTTAGGAGTCATTATTAAATTTTATGAGTCATAACATTTGAAAATGAGTCATTACCAGATTTATTTAGAAATAGTCACTTATGTGATTACAAGATATGTCTGTGACGCGTCCGATATTCGAGGAGTCCGTATTCTCGCAGCTCGTTACGTTTCGAGAGTCCTACGTACTTCAGGGGTTTTATTTGGATCTTAATCTTCGGTGTATCCCGTCACTATTATTCCGATATGAATACGAGTCCAAGTAGAGAAAGCGATGTTGGGTTGCACGCGGGTCCGTCGTGCCGGGCGTGGAGATGCCACTAGCAGTGGCCCACTACGACGATCTGAAGGAGGAGAGTTGGCGCCTCAGGGCGCTATCACTCGGCCGTTTCTGCTCCTCACGCAAGTGGTACAGGTATCCGTGGCAGTAGTGAGATAGCCTCTGTTTTATAGCCCCCCTCAATGGGACGTGGAGTTGCCGATGAAGAACTCTCTGCGGGCGACAGCGATCATCGCTGAGCGATGGAATTGACTCTGATGCCGAACCGAGAACTAGACGTGAATACCTATTTTGAAGCAGATCAGATCATAAGTCTTCTTCTCGTCGCAGGAAGAGAACGTTCTGCAGATGCTTATACGATCACCGTGAATAGCAGCAGCGACGAGAGTCAGGTGTGTGGCGAATCTCTTTTCGGGAGTAAAATTGTGTGGAGGGTGAATTTATCACACTCTTGGTACGACTATGGTTTTGACAGGGCTTTCAAACGACGCTGACAGTATCAGCTGGTAAGAATGCGATGAAGAGTCGAGCGATTCTGATGGCAGTACCAGTACAATACAATGACAGTCAGACACTGTCTGACAGACAGAAGCATGTCGCAATTGCTTTTCGATGGAGCCTCGTTAAAGAATGCTGAGTGGCAAAGTGGAGAACGAAGTTCAAGTTCACCTGGGAGTGAAGGTTAGTATGTGGCAGGGTGCTCCAAAATGGCAACAATTTTTCCATTGCCAACTTTTCCAGTGGAAATTTTCCTGCCATTTCCTTGAGCTCGGAAAAATAAGAAAAAAATAGGAAAAAATTGCCAAAAGTGGCAAAAATGGCAAAAATTGTCGAAAAAAGTGTAAAAAATCTAGAAGCATCTTCTCATCTGTCATAATTACCACGGTGGAACTATTATTCCCGGCTGAAAAAGGCGAACATATTTTGCAGCACTGTGGCTAAGAACCACTCAACTCAAAAGAACTCAAATCCTGATTAACAAGTATGTTCATGCACAAAATTTGTGCCACAAATGCATCATCAATTGGGTTGTTCAGGGAGCTGCATATCACTTGACTCAGAATCTATCAATCCCAATCTCTGGTGGGTCTTGGATCGCAAATAAACATCAGTAAATATCTCTGCTTGAAGTTTGTTGACCCTGAGCAGCAATCATATAGGTCCCAGGTTGGCACCTGGTACTTGGAACAGTCAATAACCAAACGAATCGCTTTGAAATTTACGAACACGATGCATCGATCCTACTTCGTGACGAATTTCTCAGAGCTGAACGAACGTTCCAAGGCCGCAGTTTCGGCAGGGATTTGGCATAAGGTGCACAGAACAGCTGCAAGCGAGCTCTTCGTGTTACTCTTAAAAAAACTCCCAATAAGCTGCCGGAGGACACTTTGCCATGGCGAGGTGCTGACCTAAGAGATTATTATACAATGATGGATGCAACCCGAGTTATCGAGCCCTGTTCAATCGGTACTGACCTCTCTTCTGCCAGTAATCCATCACAAGATTGAGGAAATCTTGCAAACTTATGACTATGACATAGAGTCTATGTTCTTCACTATATGCTCGCAGTAACTGCACTACATCTGCGAATTTACTTGACTCAACTGAGTATGTATACTCCACACGGCGCTGATCATCAGTACTCCAGTGATGTACTTCATGCTTATATTTTCTCGTAGAAGTGCATGCACACTTCGTGACATCAAAATAACAGATCAGCTCCACTGTGAGATG